GCTTCGAAGGTTATCGCCGTCACGCAGAGTTTGTGCCCCCAGAAACACATTGTTTCCAAGGGTCCCATGTTGTCAACAGATCAAAACTAACACGACAAATCAATCAAGGTGCCAAGAACTCTACGCTCCTAGCCGAGCTTGCACACGGAGCCTTCGAGAGTATGAGTTGCGACAAGGCCAAGTAGTCAACTTTCTTGGGCTGCTTGATGCGCTTGAGAGGTCGGGGTGTGTTCGGAATCTCTCCCAAAAGCCGTACATATCTATAGGGAAAGCACAGCACGGGCTCCTGCCAACACAGCACCGGTGCGTTGGGAAAAGTTGCAATAACTTATCAGTGTCATGGTGTTTTGACCCTCCATCCTGCACCAACATTTCATCTGCTGCATATCTCTTGAGGAGCATTACAGTATCACGTGGATGTAGTTCCAGGCCCGCCGCACGCCCTTCAGCGACGATGTTGATGTTTCGTGGAATATCTTCAGGGATCGATATGCAAACAAAAACGCTTGCCCCGTTGTAAGGCCCATGCTGAATCAACACACACAAATTTGTTTCAGCGACAAAATTGTTTAGTTCAAACCAGGCCTTGCCGCCGTAACATGATGTATGCATGAAGGCCTGTACAATCATCTTTCAATCCCCCTGAATAGGTGCAAGGCGCCTTTGACAACCAAGATCTCCAATCACGAATTCCGTCCACATATTCCACTTTCACAACACAATTGGGACCCAGCCAGGACTGGATCCCGATGGAGTGAACGATGTACTCCAACTTCCTGGAATGCATCTGCTTAGCAGAACGGACGTTAGGCCCTACAAGCACACATGCACAAATTTAATATATGCGCTTGTCGAGCCAGAAATGATTTGAAGGAAAGCTTCTGCTATCATTCATCAAACATCATCAAGTCCAAACAAGTCTCTGAACCAGATCAACCTCGTCACATAATATGTCTATGTATCTCATAGCTGTCGCGATCAGGCCGAAGAGTTGATCTTAGCGAAAGCGCGCAAGAAGTTGGAAACATTTGGAAACTCTTGACTGGGTGAACAAATGTTCCTGGATGTTCCTGCCAATCCTTTTAATCCTTTTAGAGCAATTTTGCATTCAACCCAAGGCTCCGAGGCTCCCGTGGGTGTGCCCCACGCGGGAGAACAGCAAGGCAGCGAGACGGCACTTCCCTTTCGCCAAAAGCCATGCGGCCAGCTTCAGGCAATGCTGGTTTTTCGTCTCCCTCACGCAGTTGTCTGCCTTAATCGCGGATGGTTGGAAACTGTTGGAAATCAACATGTTTTCCACGGTCTTCCTTTCACCCATGACCTCCCATGAACTCGTCAAGGAACCCACCACAGGATCTCCTGTGGTTGAGGAGCACCGCGAGCCGTCAACATATCAAGAGCCAAATCTATGCTCCGCAGTGTGGTCTCCAAGACCATGGAAGCGTCGCCCGCGCACTTGGGACTCACCACCCAAAGAAACAGCACAATGTTGGAGATCCTCAGCACAGCTGTGGATTTGAAACAATTTTCATGACAATGTGCGCCACAGCTGAAACATCCAAAGTTTCCTGGCAATAATCTCATCATGTCCCATCCAAGTCTCCAAACCCCTTGGATCTTAAAGCGAGGCTTTTGTAAAGGCATTTCAGCCTTGGTGCTCCTCACATGACGGTTTCTTGGTATTGACCACTTAGCTTGGTCCATGCCATCCTTAGATAGCCCAAGCCAGACTCACAGTTGCTGGTGGTCTGCCATGTACATCGAATGAGGCGGTCAAGGCGCTACGTGGATGCAAAGTGCATCTCCGCTGTGCTCTAGCGGGTTTTGGGCCTGGCGCGTGAACCACCAAAGAGGCATTCGCATTGCATAGGATCGACATGCACATGAACCGAGCCCAACACTGACCTTGCAACCGTTGACATGGCCTGCAAGTACTCTTCGAGAGCGCGGTCGGCAGCGACTGCATCCACATGCTGACGGTAGAGTTTGGCCACCTCAAAGCGCCCTTGCATATCCTTTGCCTCAGCGCACACTCAATCACAGCAGCAAAGTACCTTGAAGCCCCAACCCCTTAAACTCCATCCAACAATCCAACATAGTCCAACCAAACTAATGATTCAAGCTGGCGCTAGTAGCAGCCAAATGGCGGAAGTTGTCCTAAACATCTCCTTGAAGTCACAGCAATCATCGCACGTGCCGTGCGTGCTCGGTGGCAAGAACTTCATAATGGGTCTCCAAACTGTGTCATACACCCGCCAAAACTGCTGGTACCTGATAGATTCCAAAAGCAAAGAACAAACTGTTTATCTTGAGCTGTCAAAAAGTTCTGCAGTCGAAGTGCGACACATCTTCTCGACCCCATTGATGGAACAGCATGCGCAAGTTGCCAGGTGACAACCATCGTTCTGCACAGCGCTGCCGAAATTCGACTCGATCGCCCTGGGCGACCAGCACATAAAATGAGAAGGCCACAAGCGCAGCGCCAAACCGAAACAGGTCATCAACTCTTCTGCCGAGATCACTGATCGGTTTTGGAATCTTGATTCACAACTTAAGCACGACATACACACATAACTCAAGGCCACCCTGTCTAAGCAATCGGCTGGGTAAAAAACGAATTTTGCCCGAGTAAGTGCATTTTTAGCTCTTCGTCTGCTTCCATGCTTTCAGCAGGGACGTGGAGGTCGACCTCCTCGTCTGCTGCTTCAGAGTCGCCTCAGAGCAACAACTGAAATACACCCTTGCAAGGGCACTTTCACTCAGACACCTGATGGACACAGAATGACATAGACAGCCAATTGGTTAACGCACCCAGAAAAACAGCAACAATCCGTACAGCTCTGTGACATTGCATTCAATTCAATGCAAGAAACTTTCATCACCAGATAACGCAGTGGTGGAAGCCTCCAGCACGACTCGAAGTTTTTCGTGCTGCATCTTTCTCGGGCGACCAGCTCGGCAAAACCTGCAAGGAGCAAATCGCAACGCTTTCATGATTTTCAACCTTGACATGTGAGGCAACAAACTCACTACTCGGTCGTACATGTTGCGATGATGCGACCCTTGTTTTTGTTGAGTATTCCTGTTGCACGACACCCCATTGCCAACCAAGTTCCATGGCACCCTATTGCCAATCAAGGCACTTGTCAGGTAGCATGCCTGCGCTCTTCACGTAGACAGACAAAAAGAACTGATTGATCAGCCGGGTCTTCACTGGTGATCTCTTCTTCACCTTGGAAGCAAATGCTGCACTGTTTGGAAAGCCCGACACTCCTTGAGCATAAGGGCAAGGAAACAAAAGTATCAAATTAAACTTAGGGTTTGGAAAGCTCGAAAACTCAATTAAACTCCAAGAAGGCACACCTCCCCAAACACGGAACCTGCGATCGAATCTTCCTTGCTCCACCCTCGCCAATCTGGCATTACCAACCCCCAGGATTGCCAGAACACATTTCGGCCCAAAGCGCTTCCCCAACAAGAACCACGGCTTGCGGGTATCGCTCTGCCCACCAGCTAGGGTCAGCCGAAGAAACTCATCCTGCACATGTTTGGCCATAGACCAAAACAGCCGGAGGAATTGCACCAGGCTGGCCATGATGTAGGCCAGCTTCTGAAAGCAATTTCTCCTGTGGCACCGGCATGAATCCAATCCAGCCAAGCGAGACAACCGACCCGCATCTGCACCATGATGCCCAAACCTCAAAAGCAGTCATAAGGAAGCACAACAGCTGTCGGAGAGACAGCCAACTCAATGGAACAAGCACAGCAATCTGAACCCCTCAAGAAACAAACTTACACCATAGGTTCCAATGTCTAGAAACGGAACTCGGTCTGGAATCGTTGCATGCAGTTTTCGCTTGCTGCCGTCATAGTTTGGCCGCTTTCTCACAGGAGCTTTGGAGTCAGATGCACCCATCAAAACTGCACTCGATGTATCCTGAAATTCTACCAACTTTTCCAGTGTGAAACTCACACACGAAGACGCCTTTGGAAGAGAAGGCTCTTCAAACGCTGGCTGCTCCTCCGGTTGCTTCTTTGATGACGCCAAAGCTGAAATGTATCTCCGTCTGGCACTGCTGTCCTTTGGCTCGAAAGTATTTGGCTTGGAACTGCTAGCTGAAGGGGATTGGACAGCAACTGAAGCCTTTGGCGTTGGCTTGATCTGTGTCACCGCTTCTGGATCTGAAGCGGAAAGAGATCTGATGAACTGTCGCCGCTTGTCGGCCATTGCAACATCTGTTCTATAATGTCCTATTTGTCATGTAAAGACGTGCCATCGGCTTACTGTTCCTCTTCTCTGATAGTGTTCCGCAAACAATAAAAAAGTTTAGCGCCTAGCCACTTGCCTAGCCTTAAAAATGACATTCGCAGCCATGAAGGCCAAGGCATCCGAGATCACCCAAACCAAAACCTATCAAAAACACGGAGGTACATACAACGACTTATGATGACTTATGCATTGAGTAATATTGAGTATATAGTGGGTTGAACAAACAACTACGTAATAACTAAGTCAAGCTGGCATTAGATTTCCACCTTTGAGCCTGATGAAAGCAGGCGAAAAAAGCATGTCGGTGCCATCGCTGGATATTGAGCAAACCACTCCCTTCAATCCCATATCATCCGATATCTAGGAAACAGACCGCTCCATTCAAGATGCACAACCTGCGTGTGTGCAGTGAGTTCACCACAAAAAGACCAACAAACATAAGGACTTCTCAAGCGATTTCACCCGCCTTCACCAGCAAAATGGCTGGAGCAGCGCTTGAAAGCTAGAACAAAAACAAAAGGCAGCCGGCCGAGCGACTGGTTCAATTTGTTTCGTGAACGGACACATCAAAACTCACGGGACCTGAATGGCACGAGATGACACCTGAATACAACGAAATCTACTTTACAAGAAAAACTCGTGTATCTTGTGTTGACTTCTTCAGTATCCTCTACATGGTCCAACGTTGCGCACTTTCAATGGGACCATCAGAACGCACCCGCGACCGGTCCTCCAGTACCTCGCGCCGCACGTGGTCGAAGCGGCACCGACGCAGCGCGTGGCCCGTGTAGTCCTGGAGATCGACGATGTGGATCTTCTTGGGTCAATCGTGCGGTCGGGGGAACGTTACATGTGACCATGCACAAATGGAACAATGGAAATTCAGCAGGATTTGGCTTTGGACCTCTAATCCTAGCGGTTCTGCATATTTCTGCTATCTACTGCGCAGGTCTTAGCAAATAGTGTTGAACTTTTCAGATAGTGTTGGCAGTCCTGCGTGTCGGTTTCAGTCCCCATCTGAACTGTGGCCACATACTCTTTGCCACCATGCAGGAACTTTTGCCTGCAACACGAGGACAGGTTGCAACCCCTTCTGAGCACACCCCTGTTGTACACCACCTTCACCTTACTGGAATCATGCTGTCCGCCATCTTACACATACCCCAGGCACCGGCACCGATATATCCACCATCGTCCACCCAAGAAAGGTCTCCAGGTGGCCGAGTGACAGCGGACGTGGGTCGCAAACACGGCCGACACCAATGCAACTCAGAGGCAACATTCTTGTGCCATGCCCAAGGCCAAGCACCAAGACCTTTCGGTCGGTGCCAGTGGCGCATCCAGAATCCGCCGTTCAAAAGATGGCCGTGAATGGGCTAAAGCCACCGTGAATGCACCTGCAATTCTCAAAGGAAACCATGTTCGGGCAATGCGCCAGCTAACCCTTTTCGAAGTGTGCCATCTTAACATATAATACTAGTTTCTAGCTATATTGTATGTCACCTTATTATGATGTAGTTAATTAAAGTTAATTATGACGGGTTATATCCTGGAATATGTTATACTTCATTACCAATTATACAATAAAAGCAATTATATAACATATTCTACCTCGTTCCCACTTGAGCACGATTCCCCAGTCCGTTGTGTCGGTCCGGAGGATCCACGGTCTGAGCCACCAGCCCCAGTGGCAAAGGGGTCCAGGGTCCCTCCATGGCCCAGCTTGACCTTGAGCTTCTTGGTCACCTACAGTCACCACCCGAACTGTTGAACTGGGACCTCAAAAAGCAGGAAATGGCATGGAATTACGTATGAGATGCGGCGGAAAGGGATGGAGATGTTGCAGGGCACCCACCGTTTGTCGCGTTCAGGGGCCCGCGGGGGCTGCGCGATGCCAAATCCTGAAACTGCCGGAAAGTCTCAGAGGGTGGGCCTGTGATTCTCTGGATTGATCACGTTCCAACTCATTCAAAACGTTCTCGAGGTCCTTTCCTTCGAAGACTCGCACATCAGAAAGGGCGGCAGCCTTGGACATTCCAACCGTTGGCCTAAACCGGTTTGGAAGCCAGTGGCTGCTGCAATGGCATGTCTGTACCTGGCATAGACTGCCCGATGGGCATCCTCATGACCGTGAATTCGTGTGTTCCGGGAAGAGTGGAGGAACCCCACTCTTCACCCGGCCCCGAACGGCTGAGAACCTGGCTGCTTCCAGCACCCCTGCGACGACATCCTGGCGGACCAAAGCACAGAGTGGGGCCATCTGGGGATACATATGAGTCATGGTCCTAAATGTTCTGCCAGAAGTGAAGCTTCCCCAACAACTGCTCTGCTAGTTTCAGTGGCAATGTCCACCCCACATGAACTTCATCAAGTCGTTGCCTTTCCAACATGCAGGTGGTTGAAGGCAGCTCTGTGCATAGAAACGAGCTGGGGTTGAGTTGCATCAATTCCTCAAGCTTTGCTTGCAAGTGATGCAGATGTTGGAACCACCATCCTCACACAAGACATGCCAGGTGTGAAACATGCCGGCAAGACTGCGCTGGTGGGACCTCAATGGAGGGACTGCTCTACATGCTCTACAGTTACAAACATACTTATGGTTTTTCTTCCGCACCCTAATTGAACAGTTAGAATCCATTGGGACATCACACTGTAAGGACCCTCCCCGACATGTGAACACCACCTAGAGTCACCCGCCAAGCGAGTCTGCAAAGCAAATTGTCTTCGGAGTGTTTCACAGGTCAACGGGAGGTCGGAAACTGTTCCTTCTGGCTCAGGCAGAGGCCTGCTGGTTTGTCCACCTCAGTTTTCGGCATTGGTTGGGCTTTGGCATTTGAGAGGGTCGGAATTCCGCCCATTCCTTCAGGAAACCACCTTAATGATGTACTGAACCTATCCACACGATTGGCAACCTAGAGAGGTTGAGGAGCCCCACCCTATCATAGCCTAATTATCCCATAAGTACCACTATAAGGTCCCCGTTCGGGTCTTTCAACCTCTCTTGGATGGTCTTCCTTGGTCTCGAGGTGTGTGCCTGACAGGTGCCAAACTAAGTCTTACCAGGACGCATGGGGATGCATGGTTGATTAGCGTCATTCAGTGTTTGTTTGTGAAGGTTCATGAGAGGATCTCCAATGAATTGGACATTGAACATTCAGTCTCCATGTGTGATGTTCATTGGAACAATGACTGCATTGCGGTCTTCAACCACACAACTGTGGACAGGTGGCTCTGTCGTGTTCTTTTTGCAGGGCATATTGGTGGACAACAACAGCGTATGAATGATGCAAGTGCAAAGTGCATTGAAATCCTCATATTACTGCGTCCTTGTACACAGCTGAACTGTTTGCCCCTAACAATCCTCAAACATTTTTGCAGGATGTCACTCCAGGCTAAGTTCTGTGCGCAAATATCTCTTCAATGAAGGCCAGCAACCAGATTGTGGCAACTTGAACTCACTTGCATTGGTGGCATGCGATTATCCAAATTTACCAGGCACATCTTGCGCCCAGCTCACAAGTTTGATGATCTGCAAATCAACGAGATTTCAGATGAGGTCGTTGCTAAAAAATCGGGTGGTTGATTAAGTATCCGAGTTTGAACCATGAAGTCTTTTTTGGGCGGGCTGTTTGGGCCAGACTCAATTAACAAAATTATTGGTTTCCAAAGTGCCGCAAAGAAGTTTACATTTGCTTGCGGCACCAAAACAAAACTGTTCTTTAAAGAATTCCAAAGATTGATCGATCTTACGCTCGGACTCCTACTTCAAACAAGCGTGTTGCGGATTGCAAACATCATGATCGGAAGCTGATCTCATAAACCCGCTTGATCTCATAACCCGCTTGAAGTCTTTGAAGTGTCAGTTGCTTGTGTGGGGATGGCGTCCATATTCCTCGCATGCAAGCTACTTGTTTTTCAGAAGTTGTGTGATGTTACTGACGCAGGAAGTTCCTTCCCGGACGACATTGGTAAGGGATTTTCTCGTCATTGGTGAGGGGCGATTTGGGGATCTCCTCCATTTCGACGGAACTTGAAGTTTTGGGTGGTATACTTTTTTGACGGTAGTAGCGGCTGTTTAGCGGACATAGCGGACCATCAGCTCATTGAGAGGACAGGCTTGATCTTTGGAGGTGGTCGCTCTTGGAAGACTTGCTAACTTCGGTGTTTTCTGCAGTGCCGACCAAAAGGGCTTCACGGGTCCCAACGAGATTGGATAGAACATGATCGAGTCGAGTCTTCTGATAGAACACATGAAAAGGCCTGAGCGTCTGGGATACCCTAATGTTTCTGGTGATGTTTGCTAGCTTGGTTGACAGACTGTCCGGGTCCACACTGTCTGACCATCGAATCAATTGACTCACAGAGTCACACCAAGTTTCCGAGAAAAGCGGTGGAGTGGAGACGCAAATCCAAGGACCAATGTGATTGGAAGGAAAATACCGAGTCAGGGGTGTCTAGAAACCACCCTTTCCGTGGTGCTGGCTGGTGCTTTTCACCCCTGTCGACTCCAATTCGGACCTTAGGAATTGCTTCATGATGGTAGCGAAAACGCAACACCATCCCCACCGGTGTTTTCGGCGGGACGGTTTTCACCTGCGAAGCCGTTCCACTGAGCTGAGCCCCGAGCCGCGAAGACCCCCCCATTGGCCTCAAGGTGCGGTTCGACCAGCCCTAAGGGGGCTTGTCCCATGTTATTTTCCCCAGAATGTCCCGGCCAAAGGATCCTTAAAATCCCTGAGTTTCTCACCTGGCCAGTGGAAAAAAAACTGGTTTGTCGAGGAACCTGGTCGTCTGAGGGGCCATGTTCCACTTCCATGTTACCTACTGTCGTAGTTCCAGGCAGTGGATACACTCCTTTGTGGCATTTTCTCAGACACGAGACAACTCTTGCGGAAAGGGAGGGAAGCAGTCATGCCACTCTGGTTGCCAGAACCCTAGTATCACATCAAACACCTCCTCTGCCTGCATTCTTCAACAAAACTCCCTCCACTTGGTCTCTGCAATCACTTCCTGGAATCATGGACGTGGACGCCATGGCCCCGAAGACCATACAAAGAGGTGGTGGTGCCATCCACGACGACGACGGGTAGGGTAAGGGGTCCCATGACCTACACCGACCCAGACCGACTCGACTGGCAGCAAGGAGCCAACGCAGCAGCCACGGCATCCCTTCGCCTGCGAGCTGCGAAGAAACCCGTGAGGCCCAAGAGGCTCAAATGTTTGATCGACGCCTTTTAAACACAGACCCAAACAAGATCCGAGTGCCGAGCCCATAAAAAAAGAACAAAGGCTCCAAATCTAGTTTGGTTTGGACACGGATTTCATTTGGAGGGCTCTTCCATTAATTTGTTCCACTGAGATCCGTGCCCCGATCGCTCTCCGACCACCGCGAATCGCGGACCCGGCGGTTCTTTTTCACGTCCGATCGGCCAGCGGTGTCGGGGACCGCTCGGAGCGCCTGCGAGCGCAACGGCCGCACAAGTGAAGCAAGAAAACCAGGGTTATCTTTAGAACACTAGAACACGAAGCCGATCTTGCGTGTTCGACCAAGTAGTTCGTCAAAAGAATCAAAGAAATACCCACCATAATTACAGGGATCTGAGGCGAGGAAGCCATGATAAAGGATAAACCATGCACCATCTGGGAGTGCATGAGGCTTCCTGGGTGGAGTGGCATGCACCAGATATTGAAATGGAGTGGCATGCACCAGCTATACAAACCTATACGGTATCTAGTCTTGAGTGAGGTTGAGCGATGGATCACCACCACTGCTTGCAAGCTGATGGGAAATTCCTTGCTTCAACACGGAGATCAACGACGAAGGCCACTTAAACCTTCAAGGAGGCATCCATTATTCATATCCATGGGCTCCCTTACATCATTGTTCAGCCTCAATCAGTGAACCTCTTGGGGTGTGCCGAAAACACCATCTGCCCCGCTTGTTGGGGTCTCTGAGCTCCCCACTCGGCCTCATCTGCCTGGCAGAAGACGGGGCCCCTGGGGGTATCAGCTCATCCACCTTTCTTGCTCCTCCAGAGGCGGTTTGACAGTTTTGTGGTCGCAGTGGAACATCCCGTTGGTTGACAGGCTGTAAAGGCTGGATTTCCCATTGCTGAAAAGGCCAGGATTGAATTCTGGGCATGGAATGTGGGCCACAGGCCAGAACCGGATAGGCAAACCCGCCCATCTGGTCGACTGTTGGGCAGGTTTGCTTCGAACCATCGATGTAGGGTGAGGACGTGTGAAAAATGCCAGGCACGTCACCATCCCCTGCATCCATCAACTTCCTATGGAAAAGGGGGGGGTATCGCACACCGAAAAGCTTGCTCACTGGCCCGACTTGTGGGATGGAACGAGTACCCTCACGCGCAGGAATCTTACATGACTCGGGACACTACATGTAAAATTCAACATCCCTCTGGCCGAACGTACACGTTCACCTCAGTGGGTTGGATCAAGAAGATTAAGTGCCCAAGTGTTAAATGGTTTTGACATGTCTTGATTTCTGCCACCAATCCCCAAGTCCTCTGAAAAGATCTGAAAAGGAGAAAGTCGGAGAAAGCCATTCGGTCGCTCCGACAACCCCCCCGAGTGCTGGCTGCTGCTGTGCCAATCTTTTTGCTCAAAAGATGAGTCGGGCTCGGTGAAGTGACCGGTGAGCTTTTGGAAGTGCGGTCATCTCATCTCGGTGGACGCGTGAAAACATGGAGAGTTTTACGTCACGTCACACGTCACAGATTTTTGGGTGCCGAGTCATGTTCATTGGCGTCTTCCTGCACATGGATGGACTCACTGCCGCCTGCGTCTCATAAACAATTCCAAGGAGTGCCTTGCATCGCTTTATTTGAAGCAAGCTGGGGCAATCTGAGCAAACCGCCGACTTGACCACATTCAACCTGTCTCATGCTAGGGGCCCAAGTTCAGCATAGTTTTATCATTGAACATGCTCTTCATTGCTGCCCAAGTGCCTTCTCTCATGGCAAGGTCATTGTTGAACGGGAAAATTGTTCCCAGCCTGGAACTCCAGGTGTCCAAATCGTCAGGGTCCAAAGAACCTCAATAAGACAAATCAACGCCATGATAATTGCTGCAGCCGCTCACATCAAACGTACCATTGCTGGACCTCCACCCCGGGGCTTAAAGACATTTTTGGGGGCAAGCAAGTGCAAAACTGTTGGTGCACAAAGCTTATATGTATGAGCCACTGTCCAAAATTACTTGCTAAATCAAGGGGCATCAAGAATTGGTGAGTGTGTGATCATTTTTTAGGCTGTGTTACGGTGGTTTGGTGGGTGTATTGTCGTTTTTCAGCTGGAACGTGTGTTTTGAGATCCCATGTCCCTCTCTTTACATGTGTAGACTTCCGGGTCCGTAAATGTTTGACGGTGCCTCATATGTAAATATCACCAGGGGTACTCTGGGCTGACGGTTTGCTACCTTCAGGACGTCTTTCAACTCCCCTGGGCAGAAGACAGAGTTCCAGGAACTGCGGGTTCGACAAAGCTGCAACCCATGGGCCAGCTCGCAAAAAGGCTTCAAAGTTGGCTCTTTGTTTGCTGCTCAAGAGGAAAGAACCCCTCCTTTTGGCCCCTGGACCTTCGCTGAAGATGTGACCATCAACTTTGGAAGTTCCAACGAAAAACTCGTTTCAAAAGAAAAGCCACCCCTTCGAACATGTCGAACCACTCTGTAAACAATCCAGGGGACGAGCAAAACAGAACAATCTGGCTGTGGGTCCTACATCATGGACGCTCTTGTTCGACTGACATGTTCGAGTACATTCTATCAGAACATATAACCGCACTATGCACACAAATCAGTGAGAATCTGGCGCTTTTTGCTGGCTTTTCCTAATGTAGGGGTCTTCCAGCGCCTGCCGAAATGCAAGAATAGTTGAGCTTTTAGAAAATTTCCGGCGGTACAAAAGGGCTACCTTGGCCAACGAAAGGTTTTTTCTTAGACGCTCTCAGAGAAAATGCTGGTGGCAATCAGGCCAGTAGGAATTGAAGGGGCATCCACTCTGATGAGTTATCCAACCTCAAGCCACTTAAGCCATTTGTCCTTCTATGCTCTTCTCAACTCAGTGAAACCATTCACATGCAGCTGGTCTTCACAAAGCCTTTGTCCTGACGCATCCTGTCTGAGACCTTACCTGTTGGCTCGCACGGCTGAGACTGGGAGTAGCACGTTGCGTAGACCCTGCCCTCGCTCTCAAAGCCCTTCACCTCATGTGCCAAGTGTAGTGGGACGAGCAACTATGGAAGGGGCTCACGCAAAAGAAGAAGCTGGAGCCTTTGATGCCACAGAAAAGCACAGGAGGTGTGGCCATCATTGATCTCCGTATGCAAGAACCATCCCTACAAAGAAATGGGCCAGCCAGCGTAGTCCAGGGAGAAAGCCGTGGCCATCCATGACCACCAATTTCTGGCATCGTTGCACTGTTTTAACTTGCCGATACTTAAACCGGTGGTCCGCCAGAAGCACAGAACACCAAGCTGCACAAACAGTTATTGCGCGCAACAAGTGTTCTTTTTGGTCATGGTTACGACAAAGGTCTTACAGATGTTGCCTCGAAGATTGGTTGGGTTGGTGTTCACCACGCTGTGCTGGTTGAGCAGAGTCAAAAGCATCATGACAACAACGGGGAAGTCCCAAAGCATTTTACCATCACGAGCTGTTGGTAGGCTTCCAAATTACAGGAGCTTTCCAGTCAAGATGCACTGCATACCAAATCAGGCAAAGGTCAAGCGAACAACGGGCAAGATGTACAGGGTGTGGCACCCCAAATGTATGAACCAGCACGCGCCCAACTTTTCACAGGCCTACCCCCCTAAAGGATGCCAATACTGGCATCACCATTTGGCCCAAAACGTGGCAGAGGTTCTACCAAAATTAAGGTCATTGGATGAAAAAGCATTCCAAAAAATGGATCTCTTCCTGAAACGCCTCGGACTGGGCGTTTTGTATACTTAGGCTTTACTCGGTGCGTCTCTCATAGATCTGGACAAGAGAAGTCCGAAGCTTTGAAGCCCCCGGCCAGTCCGAAGCGGTTGCCAAAGTCGCGCAGCTTGCTGCGTCGCATGCATTTTTGCGGCACATGGGTTCGTCCAGAGTCCAAACACTCGCAGATTTGGTTGATGCTACAGTACATGTGCCCCCCCCCCGCGCGGAACATGACCTCACAGCAAAAATGCGGACCCCGATGATGAAGTTGCAAATAAACGGAGTTCTTAGGTGGATTGTAGATGATTGTAGTGACTCTTGGGATTTTCCAGGGATCACCTGGCCTCTTGCTGGAATCTCATTCCCATCTCTGCCTCTCGTGTATCCGGTCACACTGAGACGCCAACGGCTGCATCACTTGGAGGCCAAAGAAATTCCAAACAACAAAACACCCAGTGGCTTACAGAAAAGACAAAACACATTTGCCTGATGAAGCGATTTGCAACATATCTGCAACTACCTTGCTCGCTTTGCGGATTCGGATCAGGTCTTTCATCGGAAGGGACCGACGGCAAAGTCATGAATTGCTGCAGGACACGACCGCATCACACAGCCTTAAGCTGTGAAGGAACCTTGAAGTTTGATAGCTTGCAACTGTATCAAAGTCGCATCAACTTCTATTGAAAAGGATGTGAAGTCTTGGCTCAGCAGGGCCAAATAATTTCAGTGACAAACGGATCAATTTGCAGAGTCTGTAGCTGGGGTCCTGATGGAGCAGAAACGATAATAATGACGATATAAGTGTAGAAATATGTCAAGCCCACTGTCAAGCCCTTTATACTGCTGATGTCATCCAAGACTGCCAAATTGCGGTTTGGCCAGCAAAGTAAGAAGAAAGCACCGCTGATTAGAGCTTTGTCTTACCTTTCCGAGCTGAGGCTCGGCAAAGATGCTTTGTGCAACCACATCGAGCCCACATGGCCCAATGACCCTCGCAGCCTCTCAGAGCAGAGCGCAGTTCGAGCACTGTCTGTTTCGCAAGGATCAAGGTCGGGCGCACCTTTGGCACGCAACCAAGGAAAAACAATCTGCATCATTGAACTCAACCTAGGTAAATGTTACCTTACCTCAATTGTAAGTGGTAAAATCTCCACCCTTCAAAGGCATCTGGATTTACAGTACAATGCAGCGGCATCCTGTCTCAAAAATCGCCTCCTATGCAACATGATTGGTTTCTTTGGATTTTATCTTTATTTGCAAATGCCCCTATGTTGCAAGCCAATATTCATCAAGAGCAGTCGCAAAAGGCCCACCACCCTCCTTTACACTCCTGCCTTACTTGAGCATTGGCATTGCCCAGAAGCCACGCCTGTAGTGTGCTTCTTGTAAAGGCCTCGCCGTTCGTAAGAATTCCTTGACACTTGATACAACATAAACCTTCCTTTGTTACAATGTACCTCCTTCAAGACCTTATGTACGATTCACTCCCACCCCAACCCAAAAAGACATGTCAGAAACCCCTTTTGTATTCCAATTTCGCTGTTGAAAGAACCGCAAAAAATCATGCAAGATATATAGCCTATACACCCTGACCAAATATGTTCGATTGAAAGATAGTCCTAGCAGGGGTCTCCTTGTTACAAACCTCCTCCTTCTAATGGGCGTCTGCCCAGAGAACCTTCTGCTCCTGAACCGTTTGCATCCTGTATACAAGCCTCCTCCTTCTTGGGAATAAATTTAGCTGGAAAAGGCAGGTCCTTCAAACGCCTTGATCGTCCAACATACTGACCTAAATATATCTAAATATCTTCCTCACCCTTTCACGGGATGCACTTAAGCAAACACATGCAAGTCTACAGGCGCGCTACAGCTTTAAAGCACTTCACTATGTTACTAACCGACTTTCTCTCCAGCACACGAACCGGACATGCTCTGTGCTAGGGGGTGTCCTGTCTCACACACCTCTCATCTTACAATCATTAGTGTGGCTTTGTAGAGTCACCTGCAATGCAAAAGCATGGTCCAGCCAGCTCAC